GGCCGTCGGCAATAATGACTTCATTTATTTTTATCAAACGTATACAAATAGTCATATTATTAAAAAAAAAAGAAACTTGCATTTTTAATGTTTGTTCTAGTATGACAAAACAAAAGAAAAATAGCTAAGCAAGATCAAAACGAACTATTTTTCTTATTGTTAACAAGATTTTTTTGGTTATATCAAGATTCTTCTTTTCTTTTCTTATTCTAACATAGGTTTTCTTTTATATTTTATATTTTTCTGATCAAATCAGTAACAATGTTGATTAGATTGGTTTTCAATATTGTCTTTATATACAATGAAAGAATATGACATGGGCATTCTCAAAAAAGAAGAGAAGCACCAACAGCAACAGCAACGAAACAGAACGGTAGTAATAATTGAAGATTAGACGATCTCGTTTTCGTCAACATTGTCATTTTTCTTTCATTCCCTATCTGGTTTTCTTTCTTTCTCTCTCTCTCTTTCTCTCGCTCTCGCTCTCCCTCTCTCTCTCTCTCATTGACATATTCTACTCTTCTTCTTCTTCTTCTCTCTCTCTCTCTTTTGACGTCGAAGCAACGGCGTTTGCTCCTCGCGCATGATCGTCTCAAAATGAGACATGCTACATCATGGCGAAAGAATCAATCAGAAGATGACGCTTTCGGCAAGTTGCTTGAAATCTCGACCACAACTATTAGTACTATTCAACAATTTTTATTTTTATCTACACAAAGAACAAAATCTATTCATATTAAATTTGAAACCAGTCTTCATCATATACATCCAACCAAGCACATCATCTTCATTTTCATCATCATCATTTGCCAGAAGCATCATAATTATCATCAGCATAACGCCTATTTCTTATTATTTATATCTATATTTCTTTTTATTTGCTTCTCCTTTTTCGTCATGCAACAACTATCGAATGATACGGGTTCGTGGAGTTTGATTGAATCTCCACTTCCAGCACCTTTATTCTATAATTCAAATACATACGAGACATTATCAAATGGTGGTGCAATAAATGAATATACTAATCCAATTATACCGATACCACTTGATCGTTTATCATCCCTAAGAACACAAACAGGAGTAATTGAAAACAATTCAGTTAACTATTGGGCATTTGCATTAATAATATTTCCTTTATTTACAATCTTCGGCAATGTACTTGTTGTTGTTAGTGTTTATCGTGAAAAATCTTTACATACAGTAACAAATTATTTTGTTGTCTCACTTGCCATATCGGATATAACCGTTGCAGCTGTTGTTATGCCATTTGCTATATATCTTGAAGTAAGTAATAAAAATTATAGAAGAAAAAGATTAACTATTCTTAAACGTTATACATCTGTTTATTATTTAATATGAAAATAATGAAATCATCACATATTAAAAAGTCATTTCTTTTTACTCTTACGTAGGGATCATCTATATATATAGTAAAAATACCTTAGGAGAGATTTTGTGAAAGTAAGTCTTCTGTGAGATTAAACATTGAAGAAGAAGAAGTGAATCTTATCATACCTTTTGTGATGAATATAATCATATAAATATCAAAATGATTTATCCTATTGTATAGAAAGAAGAACGGAAGTATCGATCGTCATTGAACTTAAGTCTTTGCCTATTAACTTCCGAAAAGTAAATATATCTTTCACTTAGACAATTTTTAGGTTCTCCCTTTCTATTCATATGATTCAAGGTCATGCTGTCTTCGTCTTTTGAGCAAAAGGGCATTTCTTTATTTTTAATCATTAACACAATATTAACATATATAAATAATACTCTATTTTCTTCTAGTACAATGGAGTTTGGAAATTATCTGAACGTTTATGTGATTTTTGGGTTGCTTCAGATTGTATGGCATGTACAGCATCGATATTAAATCTCGTATGAATAAATATCAAAAATCAAAATATTTCATTTTCTCTTTTTTTCATTAGGTTGCTATTGCAGTTGATCGGTAGAAAAACTTTTTTTTTCAAATTTTCAAAATATTTTTTTATTTATTTCTTTTTTAAATACTAGTTATATTGCCGTAACAAAACCACTTAAATATGCTCGACATAAAAATCCAAAACGCGTCGCCATTATGATTGTTATCGTATGGCTTGTTTCATTTTTTATTGCATTACCTATTGTCAGGTAAGACAATAATAAATAATATAAAAAAAAAGAAAAGAAAATGAACATTTAATATATCTTTTATTCTATAGCGGTATAAATAAATCGGATATTGCTGCTTATCCACGTTCTGCTGACGAATGTGCATTTTTCAATAATAAATTTCTTATATTTTCATCACTTGGCTCGTTTTTTATTCCGTGTATTATCATATTTGCTATTTATTATCGAATATTTTTGGTTATTATGGCGCAAGCAAAAAAAAATCGTAAACAATGGAGACCGAAAGCAGCTATTGAATCAGCTGCTGCTGCACATCGTTCAAATGTTGATAATTTAGTGACATCATTTTTACACGAACGACAAGATTCAATTCATCCACCTAATAATGATATTATAGATAATAATAATATTTCCGAAAATCCACAAAAACATTCAAAATTAGTAAATCAATCAGTACCGTTAATAAATAATAATAATAATGAATCTACTCCTCTCGAATTAAAATCATCTTCACCTGCTACGAAAGAAAAATTACGTGCCTCGATAAATATCACATCATCATCTGGTGATCCGTTAGATGATGATGAACGCGATGACGTTGCTCTATTTGTTCATGATGAACAAAAAAACACTAATAATAATAATACTACGACTAATAATAAAACTGATCATGATAATCAAATTGAAATTCTCTCTTCAACAATCCCAAAATCCAATTCAAAATTTGATAATTCTACAGGTTTTCAAACACATGTAGTATGTAAAGTAGTAGAAACAGAAAATCATCATCAAACAACGAATAGTTTTAAAACACGTTTAAAAACCGAAACGAATTCACAAGGTTTACCAATCACTACTTGTACAAGTCAAGCAAATAATGTTAAAATTGCTAAACGAAAAGCTTATTCTCGTATGAAAAAAGAACGTAAAGCAACTCAAACTCTTATTATCGTGCTAAGTAAGACCTTGAAAATCTTCTTTTTACTTTTATCTACACTTTTTCTGAGGACAATTCTTATTTTGACAATCTTCAAAACTAAACAAAAGATGTTCAGTTAAGCGAAATAAATTAAATTAATTCTAAATGACAATACCTATAGTCATGACTTTCATGTGAAAAAGTTGAAGTAGACAGATATAAGGCAAAAGAGGGGATAAACAATAAAACATGATTTTTTTTCCTATTAAAATTATTTCAGTTGATTTATTTTCTTTTATATAGTTTGCTTTCTGGTATGTTGGTTACCATTCTTTGTGCTCAACAACTTGGTTAATGCTATTTTTAAATTATTAAAAAAATCAAATAATTTACTTATTAAAGATATTACTTTATTATTATGCATATGGTTAGGATATATTAATTCATTTCTAAATCCAATTATTTATACAATATTTAATCTTGAATTTCGAAAAGCATTTGTCAAAATTCTTTTTTCTCCATGTAGGGCAACTCCAACTAATTCAGCTTCTTAATAACAAAAAAAACCGGTTTTTTTCTTTTTCTTTTTCTTCTCCTTCTTGTTTATGTTTATTTCACATCAATTGCACCACGACATTTGTGATGTGTGTACGTATTTTTGTTGCTCCTATATCCTAACTAACCATATTTTTTTATTTTCAAAAGAATAAATATAAATAATAAACATGGTTTTACATAGTTATTTTAAATTAGATAAACAAAATCTACATCATTTGAGATTTATTTTCTTTTTGATTTTGAGATATTTTTCATAGAGAAAAGAAATTGATATTTTGCTGATAGACAAACCTACTTCCTATAGGTTTTCTAGGTCAATGCGTTCTTATCGGTTCTCATGAGAAATCTCATTGACTATTCTGTAACAAAATAGCCACTGAAAAGCAAAAGATAGACTCTTTATAATATATTATTCCAATGTGATATAAATACGATACAACTATTTATTCTCACAAGACTATCTAAGAAAATAATATCTAAGATTATTTTTAGTAAATTTTTTATTAAAAAACATTCAACAAAGTATTAAGCATCAACATAAACATAAACTATGTGAAGAATCAATTTTCGTCATACAATTGTCCTTAAAGATTCTTTTCAACTACATTGACGGAAGATGATCAGGAAGTAAAGAAGGAGGAGGCGATGAAGGAGACGATAACGATAAATTCATCGTTGAAGATGAGCTAAAAATAGGTACCATATATGAATGTATTGTCAACAAAAACAAAAAGGATTTATTTCAACTTACGAATGATACCATGTTGGGGGACTTGAATAAGTAGCAGCATTAGCTGTATTCCACATAGGACTCGAGGTATTACTAGACAAAAATAAGAAAATATCAATTTCCATATATATTATTCTATTACAAAAGAATCTTACTCATAAAAAGATGGAGTATGCGAGTTCATCGAATACGTTCCTATTGATCGACTATCCAC